TTTTGCGGCATTGGTTAAATATAAACATCATCAAAAAGGTGAACAGGTACTATATATATTGTTGCCTACTTATGATTAGACTGCTACCTACTTGTTTTTGATACCATTTTGGCGCTCAATTTGTTTGTTTTTTCGTTGTAGTGGCTGGCTTTTGATCGCTTGCTAAATATTTTCCTTGTTCGAACTGGATGCGGAACATCCCAGCTTGCTGATGTATTGATCCACGAATGCTAGCGTTGAGGCATGTAGTACCAATCTCTATTTTGCTTTGCACAATGCATTCGATTGCCAGGTTTGAGACATGTGATGCCGAGTTGTTATCCGTTATTTGCTTTGCACAATGCATTCGAATACCAGAGTTGAGGCATGTAGTGTCGAAATAGTATTCTCATATTATAGTATCAAAAAGCACGATTTTGCATTAAATACTTTTGTTTATTGTTTAGTGTTAATTATTGGACTTGAAATTTTCATCATCTTATCATCATTCACCAATAAAATATCCCGATTTTTAATGATCGGCAGCCAAAAAATTATATAATGAGAATTTCTTTAAACAATTTAAATTATGTATTTATTTACAGACTTTGCAAAACATTGCATTTTTCCCAAAAAATGAGGTTTACAAATCTCTCGTGATTGTGAGAGGTTAACTCCCGAATCATTCTTATTTATAAATCAATTATCTATTATTAATATAGCAAAAATGATTATTATTAAAAAAATTGTGTTCGGATTAAGGGTGGTAAGAAAGAGTGTTATTATTTTTATGATTTTTTGTTGTTGTATTATTTGTTGGATTTGTTGTTGTCGTTATAATAGAATTTGTTGTATTTGGTTATTGACTTGTTGACGAAGGAAACCATTTGAATGGCACTTCGCTACATTAGATATCATAATCCGAAGAAAAATTATTAGACATATAAAAAATATTACTATATATCTCGTCAACGGTTCTATCAGTGCATACCATGATGTATGGCGTTGACTGTTAGAACACCCCTCAACGTAGTATAGTTTTTGAATAATCTGTCAATAGAGTCTCCTGCTAATCTTTTATGATATCGTCGTTGTTAATATTTTTCTACGGCTTTCAAAAATCAGTTAGCCCAACTCGTCAATACGTCTCCAGTTATCCGAAATCAAAATGACGACATCTCGACAGAGGGCTAAAAATCCGCGATATGATGGGTTTTTCGTAGGAGATGGGAAATAGGGAGGTCAAACAGACTAGGAACTGAAGAATATGAACGGAGGAATATAACAAGTTCAAAAGACTTACTGTCGTAGCCAAGGTAATGGTTCAGTGTATTCGTGGTGATCTTGTGAAGAAATTTATCTTTTTCAATATTTCAAATAAAAATAAAATAGGCATGTATATATAGTCAGCTGATAAATGCTAATTAGTGGGATCAAAGAAACAAATGTATAGATAGATTCTTTATTTCACCTTTTTCATATTAATATAGAATCTTTAAGATTTTTATATGGTCTGTTATTAACTTTGAACCAGCTTCTTGATTGGACTAAACAAAATAACAGTTATGATCATGTCTTGGGTGATTCATCTTTCTTTTTGAAGGAGCGAACAGTCAGTATGTTTGTTATGCTAAGATTTAATAAGCGAATGTGATTGGATAATAGTTTTTATCGATGATCAGCAAGTATCCTTATCCAAAATGAACAATTGATAAATGGTTGGGCTATAATTATAAATCACTCATAATATATACTGTATATATAAATTCAATTTGAAAAAATTACATTTTTATTAATTATAATATAATCATAAGCAAACAGTTAGGGATGGGAACGGTTTAACCCAAACCGGTTCAACCGGCGGTTTGGTTTACACATTTCAAACTGCGGTTTATTGAACCGGTTAAACCCAGTTCAAACTCCGATTTTTGAAACTGAGCTGGTTACACGTTACATTTCAAAAATTGGTCACACTTGTTCGTTTTATATCGGTTTATTCATTTTATAAAATATAAAATGTAAAATTATAAATAGGGTCTTATTTCTTTTAACAAGATAATTAATTACATTTATAATCTACTATGGTTACTAGTACTATGACTTAAGAAAATAAAAGAAAGATGTCAGCTACTACTATTTACTATTATTACGGTGCAGATCATCTATAATCATTAATTGCTTATAGTAACAATTGGTCAACTTCAAAATACTAAAAAAAATTATATCATTTTAAAAAATTTAACCAATAAGTTTTATTGTTCATGACTCAAGCTTCAAAACTTATCGGCTGGTTTTTTCTTAAACTGAAAATTGGCAGAGCCTTAGCATTTTGAAAATTCCGAATTTTGTTATACATTTAAGAAATTGAGACTAAGTTGATGCCCCTTCCAAAACCCAGATAAGCGGAAGTATAAATACCATACTTTTAAAACATCATTATTTTCATTGGGAATATCATTAATTGACATATTTTTGTTTGTCACATATTTATGAATAGATATTCCAACAGCAGCCCAAATGAGATCTAAAAAGGAAGTTGTAGCCCTGTAATCAACATTCTTTTCTAATTGGTCTAAAAAACGAACTCCAAGTGCAGTAGCAATATTGTAAATGCCATATCCACTGAAAGCAGTTATTAAGGCATTAGCCATAGATTTTGAAGTATGCCACTGGCCTAAGATGAATCTTCCAGTCAAATTTTCATTATGGTAGGTTTTAGTTCTCCTGAAGATAGCTTCATCACACACTAGATCAATAACATTTTGTTTAAGCTCTTTAATATACATATTTATTGATTCAAAAACTGCTTCATCACTTTTAGCTTCTGGACCTGGTTTGAGTAATACAACATTTGGTGGTGGAATTCTGCAACCCAATTCAACTTTTGAAGCAATCTCTTTATGAACATCCTGAAAATCAAAATCATTTCCACAAATTCATAAAGGATTTTGAAATACTGCATCTATTGTATTTTTCCACTGGATTTTCCAAATAATTTTAATTCAGAAGTCACTTGCTGATAATTTTGCAAATATGTCTCTACAGGAAATGGGAGATGGAACTGGTAAATTCCTCAAATAACAGCATGTGATGAGCCTTGATTTGCATTGCGAGCATGCAATCCGAGTTTCCTAATTAATAGGTTATTTATAGCTCAACACTAAGGTTGCGGGAGAAACTCCTCCAGAAATCAATCGACAGGTTACACATTAATTGTTTATTAGAGTTTCGGCAGAGTTTCACATTTGGGGTTTTCACCAATCATCAGAGTTTCGACAGGTTACACATTAATTGTTCATTAGAGTTTCGACAGAGTTTCGACAGTCATTAAGAGGTTTCGCCCACAACCTTAAGTCCAGCCGATACCTCAGCACCATATTTTTATATCTAAGTCTGTAACAGCTGACCCATTGCCATAGGTGATATTCACTGCAACTGTATCCTGGAAAGCAGTCTGGATTGTCTTATCACTAGAAACAGCACGGCCAAGAAGTAAAGTTTTGGCCTCATCAAGAAAACGGCTCTTTCCAGTTCCTGGTCCACCAGCCAGAAGGGGAATTGGATGAACTTACTTGTCCTCACTTTTGTATTGTTGAAATCTTTGATAAACACCATTCAGACCAGAATCACCATTCCATAGTGTGTGTGTTGTAATATCTCGTCCAAGAAATTTGAATGTTTTTCCATAAATATCAACAAGCTAAATTCACCTAATTTATTTTGCAGCAACTCCATTTGCACCTCCCAACCATCCACCTTCTTCTCCAACCTCTTCTTTTCTTCTTTCAAATAATCAAGCTCTCCTTTACGACCTTCCTCTTTTCCTTCCCATAACTCCTTTAACATCTTCCCATTTCCATCCTCTCACTCTCAACTTCTTCTTCGCTTCTTCGTATTCTAATTCAGCTTTCTTTGTATGTGTTCTAATTTCGTTGAATGTTGTCATTTTAGAAACTAAAATTAATTGATTTAGATCGTAATTATTATGATTTCGACCAATGATAAATTAGTGGGCACATGACTAGGAATTTATTTACGAATGACAAAAGAAAATTATTTTTATTTTTATTCAACTAATAATAGAAAAATACGTATTTTAGTTAAAGAATTGTCAGAGCGCTTGCATGAGGGAAAACACTCGGACCCAAAGCCATTTGTAATTATTACCTATTCTTTGGGTAATCTGTCAAAAATTCAACTTTGTTACTACTACTGCTATTATTATCAATAATAATATTATTACTAATATTCATATCATTGTTGTTTTTATTATCTTCTTCAACTTCATTCTCTGACTCTTTCTTCTTTTGTTTCTCGTTAGCAGAAATTTTTTATTGTGAGAGCAGCAACATCTTTTCCCTCTCCAAGTAATTCACGAATTTCAACGATCATTTCACTGAAAAATTTGGATTCAATCCAGTCTTTTTGTCAAATATATTATTTGAAATCCTTTCATATATTTCGATTACTTGTGAATGTTTTTATCAACAGTAGGTTTGTTAATTTTGTTTTTGAATTGGATGATTTATAGATTCAACAAACATAAAATTAAACACTACACTTGATATTAAGTAACTGCACAGCAAGGCTGGCAAACAATGATGTAAAAGTAATGATCCTACCATTAAAAACATGGAAAGTAATGAAAAATAAAAAAGAATCCGGAATTATATAAATGATTATGAACAGCTATAATGATAATGATCACAATAATCTAAGTTAAATTATATATATACATATTTTAGTTATAATAAAATACTTACACTTTGGAATAGGATTTGCACGAAAGCATATCAGCTGCTAAAACACCAACAAGAACAGCTATTAAACCAATTACAACCCACCATCCAACTGGATTTCCAATTAGATATATTTGTTCCCTAGTGTCACTATCTGTCCAAAATGAAATAACGTGTATTAAAAATGGCCAATTGATTGGACCATTAGAATAAGGTGAGGTTTTTGTTAATCCAGCATTATGAGATTTTGAAATTCAAAAAATTTATGAAGGAAAGATAATTGTTTAATTGGTTTTTAGGTTCCTTTGGAATTGTTACTAACCAAAAAAAAAATAAAAATAAAACAATAAATAATAATATATATACATATATAAATGAACCAAAATAAAAATTTAAATATTATTACCATTTAAGCTGACAATCTCATATACAAACCAATAATTAATTTTATCTGTATTTTTCTTATTGTCATTAACCTCTTGCTGTCCAAATGCCTATTCAGGCAATTTAGACTCATGTGCCCAAAAGTGCAATTTTTAGTATTAAAAATGAACTAAATGAAAAAGCTAACTTGGTTTTCAAGACAGACTCTTTGTCACCATCTTTAGTAAAAACTTGGAAAAGTGTATCATTAAAACGAGCTGTGTTGTTGGGCTCAATTCTGATTTGTATGCATTAATGGACTAGCAACATCATGAGTTAAAAGATAAGATTGAGTGCCAATATGTTCTAATAAAATCACCATGTTTGATTTTCTGGTCTTGATGAATCAAATAAAGATCCTGGTATTTTAATTTGCCAATGATTGTTTGTGTCATTATGCGGATAACCTGTCATTTGTTGACCTTTACTGCTAACACAACCACCACCATAATGTAATGGATAACATTCTGTATGGGAATGTAAAAATGCTGAAGTACCTTTATGCTTTATAGTTATAGTATCATTGTACTTGATATCTAATGATATAATATATTATATAAATAAATATGTGTTAATTGTCTTGATATTTATATAATTATAACAGGAAATATATATATACATAATTACCAAAACTTTGAGTAAGCAAGGCTCATAAAATTATCACCAGTATCACTTGTATTCAAGATAGTAAAATAAACAAAACCAAAATAAATGAACTGAAATTGGTACAGTTATAAGACCAGCTGCATGTGGAAAAAAAAGTTTTTTAAATTTATGTCAGTTGAACTTGAATTAGAATTTGTATTGCGAATAGAAAATCTAGTCACAAGTCCCATCCAAGCCAATCCAAAAGAAAAATGGAAAGATTCATACTTACACTCTTGAAACTCTAGCGGCAGCAGCATTATTATCTATATTTATTTTATCATCATTGCATATATATTATATATTTATTATGTTTTGGTATTTATTAATTGGCGATTAATTACGTGAAAAAAATTTACTTATGAAATTTACCAAGAAGAAAGAAAATCATAAACATTAGAAAAAGAAAGCAGAATGAAGATGTACTATTATCCAACAAAAAGCAAAAATCCTTAGAAGGAAAATAATCTTATTATTACAATATTGGTTTATTTTTTTCCTTTAATTTTATCAACATGAATCATGGCAATAAAAACCTAACAAAGTTATATGGGCTATTCATAATCAAATAGATTTACCATCAAATTTTTCTTTATTCTTTGAAATATTCATTAGCAGCTTTGACAAAATCTTCATCTGGCATAAGTTTATGTCCCTGTAATTTTGCATAAATTTTACATTTAATAATAGCAAAAATTTCCCTAAAAAATTCCTGACATCTATATTACATCAATATATCAATGCTAACCATTAATTCTCAGTTGTTAAACACTGACCACCTATGAGTAAAATATTTTTTTGGGAATGATTCTTTAGTAAAACTCAAGTGTTAAATAATAAAAAAATTTTTTTTGGTTCTTCATTTTGGGTGGCGATTTTTACTGTTGTAAAATTTATGCAATATTACAAGGACGTAATTTTACATGTATAATTTTTGCATAATTATTACAGTTGTAATCTATTATATTAAAAACGTTAGGTTCACGTGAGCATAACGTTTAGAATGGTGCCCACGCATAAATAAACGTAACGTTTAGGCTGCCACGCATAAATAATGTTATTTGAATTGTTCAATAACACAAACGTGTGCCACAATCTATCCGTTATTGTATCGTTGGGTTACGTTTAGACTACCACAAGCACGCAAATAAATACGCTGTGATGCGTAACGTTTTAGACCGCCACATGCAATCTATCTATTATTGTATCGTTAGTTTATGTTTAGACTACCACAAGCACGTAAATAAATATGTTGTGATGCATGTAAATGATTTTTAATTGTGATACAATAATAAAATATTATATTTTTCATTAGTTTTTGATTATTCTCTAACTTTTGATGTGACATTTTGTAGTCATGAAATCAAATTTAACAAAATTATGTCAATCAAAACTGTTATTTTTTTAAATCTATAC